TTTGCAACATCCACCATATTCACCGGATCTCTCGCCGACCGATTTTCATTTTTTCAAGCATTTAGAGCTGTTTTTAAGGTGCAAACACTATGAAAATGAAGACAGTCTAAAAAACTCGATATCAGAGTTTATTAATTCTAAAGACCAAAATTTTTTTAAGACAGGCATCTACGCTTTCTCGTTGGGAGAAGTGTATTGAAGCGAATGGAGCATACTTTGATTGAATAAACAGCTTTTGAAGAAAGATATGCAGTTTTATACAATCACTTAAGAATCCGACATTTCATACGCACCAACCTAATACATTGAAAGATGTATCGTGCTATTGGAATACTTGTTTGCGTTTGAATTGTAAGCAAGTAAAAACAAGTCTTGGTCAATTTTGAATGCTTTAATTTTCCACAATCGCAATATTATTATTAAAAGATAAACATTCCGTGACGATCTAATTAATGACTTATGAATTACAATAAAATTACAATCATTAAAAATACCTTTGACTTTGATCAATCCGTCTTTTTCGCGGCAATGAGGGAAATATTTTAGTAGTATTTAATAGTCAGTGATGCCAACCTAAATTTACAAATTCAAATATTTCAATTTGATATGTCCGGTTCTTCCTTCCTATTTTCGAGTTGTCCGCTTGTAGTCGTTGAAATAAGAGGTGTCCGTTTTCAACGAAACTCATTCGACGTGTCCGATTTATCCTCTAAGTTTTCGAGGTATCCGTTTATTCGCGTGACTCTATCGATGTGTCCGGTTTTTCCTTAGCTCCCTCGAGGTGGCTAATTTTGAAAATATTTCTACGAGGTGTCCGAGTTTTCAAGTAAACCATTCGACATGTCCGTTTTCAACGCAACTCATTCGATATGTCCGCTTTTCCCTTCGGCTTTTCGAGGTGTCTGCTTTTTCACAAGACTCATTCGACTTGTCCGATTTGTATTTAGTTTACACGAGGTGGCTATATTTTAAATCACTTCAGCGAGGTGTCCGATTTTTCAAGTGGAATATTTGACCTGTCCGCTTTTTCAAAACAATTTTTCGAGGTATCCGGTTGTTCCACTAACCCGACGATACGTGGAAGTGTGAAAAAATTAAATAACTAAAGCTTGTTGTCAGGTGCTACTAAAAATTACAATTTTCCGATACTTTTACCTGGAGTTCATCTATAAAATCAGTTTTGTCAACAAGTGCACAAAGAAATGTTTTTATGGAATTACCAATGTAATAAAATTAACCTTGACATAGCTATTACTTCTAGATACTACAGAATGAAAAACATACAAATACATATGTTATTATTCAATACTTATATGTATACTCCGAACTTATTAAACAAATATAACAAGACAATCTTGATAGAGTTAGTGTCATTTCAGCGTACCAAAAACGTTTGTTTATTGCTTTTCAGATAAGATAATTTTTTCCACATACTTATCTTCAAACTTCAAAGCGGGTGAGGTAGTTAGACTTATTTACTAATATTCTTATTTACTACAGCAGGTATAATCTAGGTACACAAATTATCAAATTTTTAAGTGCAAATTCACATTTTCATACTTTGACTTTCAAAGTTTAAGGTCAAAGAAGCCACTAGAATGATTTTACTAATTTTATCGTAATCAGCGACTCATAAAACGTAGGTATACCAATTTTCAAGCGCAAATATGCATTTTCATTGTTTGACCTTCAAAGTTAATTTTGAAAGTCAAAGAAGTAACGACGATTTTTTTCAATATTTTTTCTAAATTTAGTACATTAAATTGACTTTATAAACATCTATTACGTTCGATTTTCTTGTTGGTTTATATACGAGGTCTGTCCGGAAAGTATCGGGCCTGCCTTTATATTTTCATGCTAGCGTTATTCTTTATCATCTGGTGAGTGGCATCGTTCAAAGTAATCCCCACTTGATTGAATAACACGGTTTAATAACATCGATGTTTCCATTTTTCAAAACAGTCCTAGAACTCACTTTTAGGGATAGCCTTAAGTACACCCGTCGCATTGTTTTCAACCGTTGTTTTGTCATCGAATCGGTGACCTTTGAGTGGTTTTTTTTAGTTTTAGAAACAGCCAAAAGTCACAAGGGGCTATGTCGGGACTGTATGGAGGTTGTCGAAGCAATGCGATATTGTGTTTGCTCAAAAACTGCTCCACAAGATTGGATGAATGCGCTGACGCATTATCGTGATAAAGAAGCCAGTTACCACTTTCCCAAAAGAGCGGCCGTTTTTTTCTTACTGCATCACGCAAACGTTTCAAAATTTGAACGTAGTATTCTTTATTGATTCGACTTTGACGTGCTTTTTTTGGTCTTGGCGATGCAGAATGCTTCCACTGTGAATATTATTGTTTTGTTTCAGGATCATAACCATAAACCCATGATTCATCACCTGTAATAACTTTTCTTAGCACATTATCATCATTATTGACCATTTCCAGATAGTCCAGAGCGATTTCTAAGCGAATGTTTTTCTGCTCTGCTGTGAGCAATTTTGGGATGAATTTCGCACACACGTGTTTCATTCGTAAATTTTCGGTTAAAATTTCTGAAATGATAGTTTTTGGTATCACAAGGTCTTCTTCTAGTTCTCGCACGGTTATACGACGATCTTGTTCGATTGCAAGTCGCACATGCTCAATATTATCTGCGGTTTTTGTCGTCGAAGGTCGGCCGTAACGAGAATCACTATCGACAGAAGTGCGACCATCCTTGAACCGTTTATACCACTCTTTTATTCGTGTTTTGCTCATACACTCGCTTCCGAAGGCTTTTTGCATCATTTCAATAGTTTTCGAACTCGTTTTTCCGAGTTGAAAGCAAAATTTGATGCAAATTCGTTGATCTTGTTTTTCAGTCATTTTTGACAATATCAAAATCCGATGAACGCGAAAAAGGCACTGTAAACAAAGACACGCTGCTTATGAACTATACGTCCGGCAGGTGTCAGTAAGTAACCAATAGATTCGCGAGGCTTTATTGTTGACGTTTCTATCCGGTACAGGTCGCTCGAACACTATGGCGCGAAGATATAAATGTAGGCCCGATACTTTTCGGACAGACCTCGTATGCACCAGTCCCGGATCGAAAAAGTTAATATAAATTAATATAGATAATTATAGATCGGAGAAGTATGACGAGGTGATTTTCTATTTGTTAATATATAATTATTTTATTATTTTTCTTATCAATAAAGATTTGTCTATCTATCTCAAGCGGTGTGCCTCATTAAAGAATAAAAGAAAAACATCTTATTTTTATATAAAATCACTAGTTTTTACTGTCATTGTTTTAGTTAATTTTCATTATTCTTGTATCTTTAATTTTCATGCAAACTGATTTAGGTTTATTGTTAAACATCATTATTTAATTTGAATCAATTACAGTTATTAGTATAATTTTGATCACATAAATACGAGGTGGGGGGGGGGGGGTCAATAAGACTTTACAAAAAGAAGGAAAAAAAAGTTTTGTGTATGTAATTTTTGTCTTATTTTTCAATATAATCTCCTTGAAGGTCGATACATTTTATTAAACAGCCTTCCAGTTTTTTAAGCCATCAGAGAAATATGATTTCTGAAAATCCTCAAAATAAGCACTTGTTTCGGCGATGACTTCTTCATTCGACGTGAATCGTTGTCTGGAAAGCTATTTGTTCAGGTTAGGAAATAAGAAAAAATCACTGGGAGCCAAATCAGGCGAATATGGTGAATGGTCAATTAATTCGAATTTTAAATCGTTAATTTTTGCCATCGAAAATGAACACGTCTGAACTGGAGCATTGTCTTGAAGAAAGAGGCATTTTTTTATTCAAGTGAGGACGTTTTTCTCTGATTTTTTCTTTCAGCTGACCTGATAATGACGCATAATATTGTCCAGTGATCGTCTGACCCTTTTCCAAGTAGTCGATGTAGATGATTCCATACGCATCCCAGAAAACCGTGGCCATAATCTTGCCAGCTGACTTTACTGTCTTTGCCTTCCTTGGGGCTGGTTCTTCTGTTTCAGGCCGAACCCTTTGGTTTCAGGAGTGTAGTGGTGTACCCATGTTTTAACTATAGTTACGAGTCGACATCAAAAGTCTTCCGGATTAGGACGTATGCGTGCCAAAAGAGCCTCAGAGGTGACCACGCGGGTTCGTTTGTTTTCAACAGTGAACAAACGCGGCAGCCATCTTGCATATATTTTTTTCATCCCCAATTTTTCATACAAAATTGAAATAATTGTACCCTTTGATACCCCTGAGGCCTCAACTAATTCTCGCAATTTTAATCTTCTATCACTCAACACCATATCGAGGATTTAATTGACCATATCGGGTGTACTCACTTTTTCGGGGCGTCCTGAACGAGGTTCATCTTTTGTTGTTGTACGGCCGCGTTTAAATTCATCTACCCAGTTATAAACAGTCTTAAACACAGGGGCAGATTTGTCATGAACGGCGTTCAACTCAACTGCTATTTCTTTTGGTGTAAGGCCTTTCAAATGCAAATCATCATTATCACCGCTCTAAACTCTGTTTTTTCCATTTTTCAAATAAACCAATAAATTGTTGTTCAACCAACGCTCACAAAAAAACGACTTAATGAATCGAGCTGAAACTTTGTACGATATCTAGCTAGTAGTATTGCTTGCCAAAAACATCATAATTTAAGCGTGACGAGCTCCATCTCTTGGATTTTGTAAAAACTTATTGACCCCCCCCCCCTCGTAGAGACGTATTACAAGAAAAATAATTTTTTGCACGTTTTTTTTGCCTAGCCACAAAATTTACACTCATACGAGTATATACAGACACGCACTCATACGCATGTGCTGTTTTGCAAAACGTTCGTTTTTCGAGTTAGCTAGGAAAATAGTGTTACAATGTAACACAGTGTAAATAATTTATAAATTAGTCTGACTACTTTAATTTAACTCTCTGCTACAATAATTTTCATATAATTAAATTTATATAAAATTCATACTTTAAATGTATTATCAATACATTTTCCAGATCATTTTATGGGACAAAATCATACTACGAGATGACCATGCCGTACTAGATTTCAAAAACGTTAATACGAAATATTATTTCTGGGATGATGGAAATGGATTGAGGTAAATGGAATTTCTTCTAACTCTGTCTAATCACGATGATCTTCTATATTAATGATAATTTTAGCTTCAAATATTATTGAAGAAATATTGCTATGAATTAAGAACACACAGTTACGATTTAAATTATACCAATTTTTTATGATACTTATACATTTTTAAATGTTGCATTTAATTATATTATTTTAATTATTATCTATTGAACTTATTGTACTCCAGCTTCAAAAAGAATATCTTGAACAATGCAATCTCTATTAATTGTGATTCGGTAGTTGAGATTGAGAATTTTTAAACAGTATTGTATTGTTGATATAACATAACAATTTATCGGGCGAATTGAAAATAATCCGTTGATAGTTTAATTTTCTTGAGTATCTGATCAAAGAAAACATTTTATTTAGATGTTAGTTTAGTCAACAAAGAGGATTTACTGTGCATTGGCATGTCCTCGGATTTTCATCATTGGTTTTTATCTTTCTGAAAATGTTGTATCAGGATTTCGAGATCTGTTAGAGCCAAGATCGGACAGTAAGAAGTTATAAACAGTTTTAACAAGCAAGTGGATTCCTTAGAGAAACTTAATACGCTACGAAAATAAGTTGAAAATTAAAGTTGTTTGTCTTATGCTTCTGCGTTCAAAAAAATATTTTGCAAGATAAAAAGCAACCAAATTTATGATGAAATAATTAACGATCTGTCACGACACATTTAATAAATTCGTTGACTTTATATCTATTTTTGACGTTTAAGGTCCTAATCGACATGTGTTAATTTTCATCCATAGAAGTTGAGCAATTAATAGTTGTTAATAATTTAGTAACCAATACACGAATTTACGTCTTCAAAATCATTGCAGTAAACTGTGAATCTCATAATAAATAAAAAAATGCTTTTATTTGAACTCTGTTTTCATCTGCCATTTTTGTGCATAAATGTCGTTATACTATATTGATGTAGAGAATGAAGAAATCAAAAGTTTCTTTAACCTTTCCATAACAGATGCGTTAACCGTCTTAGAAAGCTTGTTAAAAAAATTAATAGGATGAAACACAGATTAAAACACACTATTAACAAATTAATCGGTGATAATTTTTGATAACTTGCACATACATTTCGTATACGTTTTGCACGGCTAAAAACAAGTACGAAAGCATAAAGTAAATCGAGCGATAAATAAAATCCAGCTGCGGTTCTCTACTGCTAGTCTGGATTAGTAGAACATTCATCGAGTGACTATAAAGCGTGATCCAAATAGATATGATCTTCGTTCCGCCCTTCCACGACAAATAATATGTAAAATATCTTGGCCTAGATATTCAGGCACACGCAATGAATAATTTTCACCTACCTGGTACTTGGCATCAATACTGCAGACAACGATGCAATGTGGTAAAGGCAAGAGTGCTGATGGTGTTGAATGGTGACTTGCCGACTTGTCATTACTCATGGTTTTCAAAGAGCAATGATCCAGACGACGAATCTCTTTTCGTATCCGTCAGCGGGCGTTGACTTCCCGATGGACGCATTCTGAATCGGCTGGTCATCACGCACTCTCTCCCTTAGCCACACATAGCACTATTTCCATTTTTTTGTCAAAATCTAGTATTTCTAGAACGATAATAGATAAAGCAGCCGTTCAATCGGAATTGGAAAGCTGAAATATTGGAAAATAGAGAAAAAATATGCAAATCGAAACCATTTGATCTTTTGACCTTCAAAACCAAGGTCAAATCATCAAATTTCCTTGTTTTTCCTATTAATTGAGAAAATAAATTTAGATACAAGCTTTTTTCCGTATGTTATATTTTTTCTTAAAAGTAGAGTAAAAAATAAAAAGAATAACCCAACTCCTCATACGTTAAAAAAAAATTGGCCAAGAAAAGAAAATTGTCTGAGCTTTGATTTTTACATAGTTGAGCCTTTTTTAAACTTTCCAAAAAAAATACACATTTCTATAGCTTTTGGGGGGTTGAATTTTGGTCCAAAGAATTCATTTTGAGTATACGAGGGTCGTTTGAAAAGTCCGTGCAAAAATAAAAACTGCTTGATTTTTTTTAATAAATTTATTTTATTTTTCAACATAGTCTTCTTTTAGCCTTATATACTTCATCCAACGCTGCTCTAGTTTGTTAATCCCTTCCAAATATTAGGATTTGTCCAAGTCTGTAAAATAGGCATTCCTTTCTGCAATCACCTCCTCGTTTCAATAAAATCTTTTCCCCGACAGCCATTTTTTCATATTAGGGAACAAATAGTAGTCCGACGGAGCCAAGTCTGGAGAATAGGGGGCATGTAAAACGAGTTGGAACCCTATCTCCATCAGTTTTGCGGCCATAACTGCTGAGGCGTGAGCTGGCGCATTGTCATGGTAGAAGAGGACTTTTTTGTGGGCCAATCGTGGACGTTTCTCTAGCAACTCGGTTTTCAAACGATCCAATAACGATGAATAATTTTCGCCTGTAATCGTTTTACTCTTTTCCAGATAGTCGATGAAAATTATTCCTTGCGAATCCCAAAAGACAGTCGCCATAACCTTCCCGGCCGAAGGAATTGTCTTCCCCTTTTTCGGAACAGATTCCCCCTTGGTAACCCATTGTTTAGACTATTCTTTGATCTCAGGAGTGCACCAAGCAAAATATTATGTACTCGTTCACTCGAGATGCCTACAGTACTAGCAATCTCACGCACCTTCACTCTTCTGTCAGCCATCACCATATCGTGGATTTTATCAATGATTTCTGAAGTGGTAACCTCAACAGGGCGTCCAGAACGTTCAACGTCTTTTGTGCTCATATGGCCACTCTGAAAATTTTGAAACCACTTATAAACCATTCTAATCGAAGGTGCACAATCACCATAATGTTTATCAAGCTTCTGTTTAATCTCCTGAGGCGTTTTGCCTTTGAAAAAGTAATGTTTAATCAATACACGAAATTCTTTTTCGTCCATTTTTTTACAACCACTCGATTTCTTTGAGTGAAACGAACGTAAAACGCAAAGTAATTGGCCGATCTGGCTGAAACTTGGAGTGTGCTCTTCCAAGATATGCCACTAACTGAAAATAACCTTGATACGCACTAGTAGCGCCATCTCTCTGACTTTGCACGGACTTTTCAAACGACCCTCGTACAATCATAGAAAAAATCGGTGACATAAAGTTTGGATACGTGAATTTCTTTGAGAAAATTCATTAATTAATTTTCATTTATTTCGTTTGTTTCTTTTATTCCTGTTTCTATTCTATGTTACTTTAAGCCTCTGAACCCCAAGGTCCTAAATTCAAAAACCCTAAATCCCAAAACCCTAAACCCTAAAACCCTACAACCTAAAATTCTAAAGTTCAAGATTATAACCCTAAGAAACTAAACCTTAAAACAGTAAACCCCCATATAATAAACCTTCAAGATTCTAAACTCCCAACTACTTAGCCCGAAGACACTAAATCTAAAGACTCGTAACCCCAATACTCCAAACCAGAAAATATTAAACCCCAGACTACTTTTATTTGGAACAAAAATATTATTATATACTGAAGAGTATCTACAAATTCTAATTCAGATTTTTTATTAATTTTTGATAAAGAATCTTTCATAGCTTTCCTTGCATATTTCATATGCGCGATAAATCTTACAATTTCTAGAAATTGCGTCACTAACTAAAGCTTCATATTTACTTTCAGTATAGTTATTTTCAAGGTAAAAAACTGCTGCACTTTCAACGGTATGTCCATTCATACTCAAATTATCTTCAGCTGGCTTTTTATTTGAACTTTGATTTTCATTCTCTTTGTGACTTAAAGTAGCTGCTAATTGCTCGTATAACACGAATGCCGTACTCTGGTGATTAAAGTAATTCATAGGCTCGCTTATATACTGAACGTTCGAAAACATCTGTTCCCTTTCGATTTCTGCATTAGGGCGCATTCGGGGTTGGGTTTCTTAGAAGGTTGACTTCGAGGTCTATTGCCATTAGCCCTTTTTCCGGATTTATTATCATCCATACTGTAATAAAAAAAATGAAAGAAAACAATATCATTAAAAAATAAAAAAAATAAATAATCTCAATAACTTTGCGGGCGTAAACATATTAATTCTTTAATTTCTATTTTAATAAGAATATCAATTGAATCGATTTGTATAATAATAAATTTTTCAAACTGACTTCAAAAATTGTTGAAAATACTATTAACTCTACTCACTTTCTTCAATAGAACATCTATAGAATTTGTGAGAATCAAAACTGATATCGAATTTTCAGTCAATCAATTGTTTTAATATCTAAAGTAGTTTAAATTTATATTAGTTTAGTTAATAAAATAAACAAATATTTACTTAAGCTCATTAAAAAACAAGACGAATATAATTTTTTTACATCTAATACCAAAATTTCATCCAAAAAATATTTTTACGAACCTATTATAACATGACTTAATTACGGAATGTTTACAAGCAAATGTTAAAAATGTGTGTTAGCGCGCGTAGGTTTATATACACATTGCAGTTTTGAAATATTTGACATTTATTCTGCGTTTAAGGAGCTTTTTCTATGTTATATAACTTTTCCAAATAGAAAAAAAAAATTGGTTTTAGGTTTCGGGTCTTGGGATTTAGGGTCTTGGGGTATAGAGGCTTGAAATCTAGTGTAACATAGAATAGAAACAAGAACGAAAGAAACAAATAAAATAAATGAAAATTGATTAATGAATTCGCATATATCCGAACTTTATGTCACCGAATTTTTCTATGATAGTATACTCGAAAAGTAGTTTTTGGACCAAATTTCAACCCTCCAAAATGATACAGCAGCGTGTAATCTTTTTGTTTATTATTTTACTGTTAGAAAAAAATGTAATATATGGAAAAAAGCTTGTACCTAAGTTTATTTTCACGATTAATAAGAAAAGCAAGGAAATTCGAAGGATTGACCTTGATTTTGAAGGTCAAATGATTTCGATCTGTATATTTTTTTCTCTATTTCCCAACATTTCAACTTTCACGTTTCGT